CAGCACCACAGTTTGAAAGCCACTAAGTTTAAGCCACTAAATTTGTGGTAATTTGTTATGCAGGAATAGAAAGCTAATACAGATAGAGTTGCTGGATTATAGGAAAGGCATATATATATCCAATTTTGATATTGCCAAACAGTTCTCTAAGCGGTAGTACCAATTTACACTCCCACCAGCAGTTAGAGTTCCACTTCTTTATTTTCTCCAACTCCATATGCTGGTAGTCATTTTGACTATTCTGGTAGATACTTACTGATATTTCATTGTAATTTAATTTTCACATTCCTCATGCCTGAGTTTGGGCGATCTATTATTGTTTCTTGGTCATCTGGATGTTCCATTTTGTGATGTGCCTATTGAAATATTGTGCCAATGTTAAATTGCATTTGCTTTTTTTCTTCCTGATTTTATTCTATACATATTTTTTGAATGTATGTGTGTGTGAAGGTATATATATTTTCAATGTTTTCCTTTATTCTCAGTGCTTTTTCTGTCCTATTTCAGATGCATTATGAAATTTTTACTTTCTCTTTCCTTCTTTTATTGAAGTATCATTGATAATATGTTTATATATAATTTTCTAGCTTTATCTCCTGGAATTAAATTCTGTGTATAAGTTAGGAGCCAAAGTTACTTTTTTCACAAGGAGAGATATACAGTTAGTCTAATTGCATTTACTTAAGTGACTCTCCTTCCTCCCAAGTACTGCATTGGTACCTTTGTTGTAAATTATGTGCAAATGTGTGTGTGTGTGTGTGTGTGTGTGTGTGTTATATGGCCCTATATGTATGTGTCTGCTTGTGAACTTTTCTCTTTGTTCCATCAGTCTATTTATCTATTTTTTTTACACAAATCACACTATCTTAATGATTATGGCTTTGCAGTTGGCTTTGCAATGGCTTTGAAAGTCCTCTAAATATCTTCTTCTGGAAGACTTTGGCTGATCTCTCTGATATCCATATATACTTTAGAATCAATTTGCTAATTTCCATTTACAAAAAATCATCTGGGATTTCAACTGAAGTTAGATTGAATCCATAAATCATTTTGATGAGAATTTTAGATTTGATTTTCATAATGCTGCCTTCTAATCGATGAAGATGATGTTTCTCCAATTAGGTCTTCTTTAGTATCTCTCAGAAACACATAGATTTCTGGACAGAGGTCTTGTGAATCTTTTCTTAGATTTATTCCTAGGTATTTAATGTTTTCTGATTTATAGTGAATGGCATTAAATTTTTTTCATTATAATTTTTGAAGCTAATGTATAGAAATACAACTCAACTTTGTAATGTTGACCTTATATCCAGCAATCATGCTCAATTCATTTATTAATTCTAATATTTGGTACATGCATTCTTTAAGTTATTTTTTGTGAATAATCTGTCTCTTCTGTATTTTAAGAGCTAAGAAACCATTCTCCAAAGATCCCAAAGCTACTTACATTTATATCTCATTAACCACAACTGAGAAATACACATTCACAGTCACTGGAATAGTAATGAGGTTACTATGACCTATTAGTCAAACACACTGCCCTTTATCTATCAAATACATTGCATCATGATTATGATGCCACAAATTTTAATTATTTTAGCCAAATGTTAAAATATTTTAGCTAGATATATAAATGTCTACATATTAATACTTTGATTTAGAAGTTTGAGAATCAGGAAATAGACGATGATGGATTTTTTGTAGAATATTCCTTCATGTAAAATGAGTTGAAATTATGATTCTTAAGTTATACAATTTCTTAAGCAATGACCAGTAAGCTTCATATGTGAAAAACATTAGTAGCTTTTTGAAGAATAAATTTCAAAATGAAAAAAAAAACTTAGTTCATTTCAAAAATACCCTTTTGCTATTTATTAAAGCACAAAATTATTTTAGAAAATTTAATGCACACACGTATCAAACTTTAGCAATAGTTATCAATGACTGGTAGGATTGATCATGATTTAAATTTTCTTAAACTTTTCTGAATTATCTAAGTGCTTTACCACAGGGTTTGTCAAACTGGACACTATTGGCATTTGGGGTCAGATAATTCTGTGTTGTCAGAGGCTCTCCTTTTTATTGAAGTGATTGAGAGCATACCTAGCCTCTGCATATTGGATGCCAGTACCTAGCACCTCCCTCTCCCCAGTTGTGTTAGTCTACAGACATTTCCAGATGCCCACCTCTCCATTGCACTGTAGTGAATGAAATTCTAATATATGTAGAAAGTTACTTAGATGTAAAAATAAATATACTGATGTAAATACAGATCAGTAGATAGAATACATCATGTGTTTTTTTGTATGCAAATATCAGTCATTTTTCCATGGTATTAAAATTTTTTCAAAAATGTCCTATGAAAGCTGCATAGGTTTGTTCTATGGACATCCAGTATCCTATTGGAAATAGGATTTCAGATTATGGCATTGGTGGTAAAGAACCCGCCTGCCCATGAAGTAGATGTAAGAGATGCGGTTTGATCCCTGGGTCGGGAAGATCCCCTGGAGGAGGGCATGGCAACCCACTCCAGTATTCTTGCCTGGAGAATCCCATGGACAAAGGAGCCTGGCAGGCTACAGTTCATAGGGTTGCAGAGAATGGGACATAACTGAAGCAACTTAGCATGTATGTATGAATGAGCATTTCTTTAGAGTTAATGCCTGGAAAAGAAATTGTAGTGTCAAATGAACATGTTCCATCTGGCAAGATGCTATGAATTTATAACTCCATTTAGTAGTATATGAGATAGCCTGTTTTTTTTTTTTGTTGTTGTTGTTTTTTACATCAGTTTAAAATCTAATCAAACATTAAAATTGTTTTAAAAATGCAAGTAGTCTTATTTTTTCTGAGTATGAATAAGGTATGCTCATTGAAAACATTCAGAAGATAAAATATGACAGAACGAAACTTACCCTTCCAGATTCTTTTTCTATAAACACAAACGTACATAAACAGTATCTCCTAAACAGGAGAACTGGGGAATTAAAAGGAGAGGGCACTTTAGACACACCAATACAGTTAAACAGAGGAACTTCCTTAGCATAAAGTTTGAGATCTTAGAGAAGAGCAAATAAGTAAATGTGGAAAACTATATATAAATATATCTGTATAGATATTCATGAGCATAATGAAATGGACATTATCATGCAACACTATATTGTGGAATGATGGATGACCAGAACACATTCTGTTCATTTATTTTTCATTTAAGTCCACCCTGTACTTCATCAATATTTGATTTTTACAAATTCCATTTGCATTCAATTGCTTTTTCATCCTTCATAATCTTAGACTCTGTTTTCCATTCCAAGCTTCATTCCATTCTTTTATGGTACTTTTAAATCCATAGTTTTTGTTTCATGGTCCATTTAATTCAGGCCATTACATATTGTACTCCATACTCTGGTCATTCCTATTGTTATTTCCTTCTATTTTCTTTAATATTTTATTTCACACCATACTCCATTTCATTCCTTTTCTCATATAACATTTTTCTTTTATTTCATAGACCATTGGATGTTTACATTTTGCATTCCATTCCATTTTTCCATTATATTCCATTAAACTTTCCATTTCATATCCTATTCAAGTCCATATTCCTTTTCCATTTTATTCTAATTTCCACTACAATCAGTCTCAATTTCATCACATTCTGCATTCCATTTCAAATCCATTTTCCATTCCTTATTATTTAACAATCCAAATGCCATCCCATTCTATTTTTGTGTTGTGTGTCAGTCAATTTGTTCATTAATTCCACTAAATATCCCATTTCATTTGGCCAAAATTGCTGCAACAGCAACTTGCAGGAGAACCACTTAACCAAAATTCTTATCAAAGAATTAGAAATGTGTATGGCCCATATTCAGAATATCCTTTTCTGGGAATTTATCTACAATAAATTCACATTGGAGAATATGAACAATTTTTAGTAAAAAGGATATATCTTATACTGATGTGTTACAGAGTGAAAATTTGGAAATAACATAAACATTGATCAATATAGCAATATTTGAAAATGTAAGCATCCTCCATAAAAGGAGTATTTTGTAGTTATACAATGGCCTTGTGGAAATTTATTTACTGACATGGAAAGTGTGTTTTCTGGATAAAAAAGGCAGGTTACAGAACAAGATCTATGCATGAAAAGTTCCATTTTCATAAAAAAAAGAACTATGAATTATTTACACATGGCCAGTCGACCAAAAAATAATAAAACATTCCTAGTACTAGCTTGCTGGTTTGTGGGAATCTAGAATCTAGCTTTCCTACATTTACTTTTGTTTGGGGTACTGAACATGCAGTAATGATCACTTTCATGACTAAAAATGTGTGCAGATATTGAACTTCAAGCCTTTGCATCACATCATGTTTATATTAACAGAAACTAGAGAGGAGGTCAAATAAATTAATGTACATTCATCAGTGGATTACTATACAGCCCATAAAAATGATGATGTATCTTTAAGGACAATACCACCCTTAATCCCAGGCAATCTGTTTGTGTTCAGGAAGCAGGACAGTGCAAGCATCTTGCTAAAGAATTAACCACCCCTGCATCCTGCCCCCTACCCCCCGGTAGCATACTGAACATCCTGAGCCAAGACCCCGATGTAGGACCCATCTGTTCCGTTTGCTCACTTTCAGGCTGCTCTCTGAGCAGACCTTTTATGGGTCATCCAGATGCTCGGAGCAGTTTCAGGACCATCCTTTCCAGGGTCACTGATATGGGTCCAGTGTCCTGACCATATTCCAGGAGGGACACCTAGATAAGGATTGAGCCACCAGAGTAGTGCTACAAGCTAAGCTGATTTGGGGCGGGGGGTGACTCAAATTGTTTATATATACAGCCTCCGCATCTTCAACCCGTCTTTGAAAACACATAATACACTCCTGGGGTTAGGATAGGGAATTCACCGCATTAACTCAGCGGGGGGCCAATGGCGGGGCAAAGCAGACTCCAGAGGCGTGGAACAAACGCTCCTCTTTCACGCTAGGTGGAGCCATATTTGCCTGTTGCCAGGGGGACGAAGGTCACATGACATCTAGCCCACCAATCAGAAGTGAAGACTCCACGAGATCGGACCACCCTCCTCGCTCTTTGCACTCGGAGCTCGACTGAGGTACCGTCTGCAGCCGTGCTCTCCGCGTCTGAAGTAGAACCTAGCGTTATGGCCACCCAGTCGTGTTTGGAGAAGGAGCAGAAGCCACAGCAGGGTGAGATGCCCACAGGGCCAAATAACGAGGTTGCCTCTGCCCCTGGTGACGCCCACGGGGCCGAGAACACCAGTCCTGGTGCCTTGGTCCCAGCGGTCTTGACCAACCCCTCTCTCTTGGGTGGTGGCGCTGTGGGTGGTGGCGCCCCGCATGGTGGCACAGCAGGTTCCTCATTCTGCAACGTGGCTACCACCGCCATTTTGCTCACTGGGGAGGAGCCAGGGGAGTCCTCCGTGGAAGGTGTACAGGGGAGGGGGTGCCCTGACTTCCAGGGTGGTGAGAGTCCCCACGGGGAGCTGAGCTGTATGGTGCCCCGGGCAGGCCAAGGCATCCAGATGGAGCCTGCTCACAGTGGGGCTGCCATTGGTCAAGCCTCGGGGGGCATTGACCAGCATTCCACTCAGATAGCTAGCCCAGGGAAGGGCTGTGGGAAGAAGCGGCTCAGCCGCGAGGAGGCTGCCATGGCTCAGAAGCCTCCTCGATGCTGTCTGTTTCCAGTGGCTGTTACGCCCCCAAGGTCCGTGTCTTCGCCGCCATCTTCTCCAAGGTCTCAACCCAGCAGCTCGGCTTCTCTGAGGAACCACGCGTCGCAGCTGGGTCCTGGCCCTCACCTCCGCAGCGGTGCAGCCATGCAACACCCTGCGCTCCAGGGCAGCATCACCCCATCAGGTCCTGTTCTCCGCAGTCAGGCAGCCAGGCCAGGCCCTGCTCTCCGTAGCCACACATCCAGGTCCGGTGCAGCTGATAAGCGCCCTGCTCGCTTCTGCTGTACTCCCGAGCCAGGAGCACCTCGTCGCAGTCGCCGTCTACCCGGGCTGAGCCCTGCTCTTGGGCGTCAAGCATCAGCACCAGGCCTTGCTCAACGCGGAAGTCGTGCACCCCAGCCAGGCCCAACTCGCCGTGGTATACCCGAAGCAGGCCCTGCTTTCCGCCGCTACAGTGCTTCCGCGCCTGGCCTCAATGGTCGTGGAAGCCCTGTTTCTGTGCCTGGCCCTGCTCGTCGCGGTCGCCCTGCCTCCGCGCCTGGCCCTAATCATTCCGTTCAGCCACTTTTGGCGCATGGCCGTGATCGTCGCAGTGGCCCTGCTTCCACGTCTAGTGTTGCGCCTCATCGCCGCGGCGGTTCCTCAGCTGGCCGTGTTCGTCGTGGCAGCTCTGCTTTGGCGCCTGGCCCTGATCCTCGTGGCGGCCCTGCTTCCGCGGCTGGCCCTGCTCGTCGCCGCCATGGTGGTTCCGCGCCTGGCCCTGCTCGTCGCGGCCGCCCTGCTTTGGCGTCTGGCCTTGCTTCCGCGCCTGGCCCTGCTCGTCAACGCCGCGGTGGTTCCGCGCCTGGTCCTGCTCCTCGCGGCCGCCTTGCTTTGGCGCCTGGCCCTGCTTCCGCGCCTGGCCCTGCTCGTCGCCGCCACGGTGGTTCCGCGCCTGGCCCTGTTCGTCGGGGCCGCCCTGCTTCCACGCCTGGCCCTGATCCTCGTGGTGGCCCTGTTTCTGCGCCTGGCCCTGGTCGTCGCGGCCGCCCTGCTTTGGCACCTGGCCGTAATCCTCGTGGCGGCCCTGCTTCCGCGGCTGATCCTGGTCGTCGCGGCTGCCCTGCTTTGGCGCCTGGCGGAGATCTTCGCAGAGGCTCTGCTTTGGTGCCTGGCCCTGATAGTCGCAGCGGTCCTGCTTCCGCGCCTGGCCGGGCGCGTCGCTACCGCCCTGCTTCCACTCCTGGCCCGGATCTTCGCGGCTGCCCTGCTTCCACGCCTGGCCCTGCTCGCCGCCGCCACCGCCGCCGCCGCCTTGATTCTACGCCTGGCCCTGATCATCGCGGCCGCCCTGCTTCCACGCCTGGCCCTGCTCGCCGCCGCCACCGCCTTGGTTCTACGCCTGGCCCTGATCATCGCGGCCTCCCTGTTTCTGTGCCTGGCCCTACTCATCGCAGCCGCCCTGCTTCCGTGCCTGGCCCTGCTCGTCGTGGCCGCCCTGCTTCCTCGCCCGGCCCGGATCTTCGCGGCCGCCCTGCTTCCACGCCTGGCCCTGTTCGTCGCCGCCGCCGCCTTGGTTCCACGCCTGGCCCTAATCATCGCGGCCGCTCTTCTTCCACTCCTGGCCCTGATGATCGTGGCCGCCCTGCTTCCACGCCTGGCCCTGCTCGTCGCCGCCGCCGCCTTGGTTCCACGCCTGGTCCTGATGTTCGCGGCCGCTCTGCTTCCAGGCCTGGTCCTGCTGGTTGCCGCCGCGGTGGTTCCGTGCCTGGCCGCGCTCGCCGCCGCCGCCTCCACAGTGCTTCGCGTTGCCCTGCCTGCGGGCCAGGCCCTGCCCTAAGTAGCTGCGCAGTGGGGTTAGGCCCTTCCCTCCAAAGCAGCAGCCCTGCTCCAGGCTTTGCCTTCCGGGGCCGGGCCGCTCAGCGAAGATCACCACCTACTAGCTGCCCCTCTCCGGTTGGGCCTAATGGTGAGAGTCCTCCTTCATCCCCTGGGTTCTCTGTAGGAAGGCTTTCCAGCCAGAGCAGCTCAAGTTCTCTTGAATCCGAGGCCCCAAGCGTTACTCCGCCTCGAGTTTGGCATGCAGTCCGTATGCGTGCCTCCTCACCCTCACCTCCTGGTAGGTTCTTTACTTTCCCTAGGGAGTATTTTGAGAATTCATCCTCTTCCTCTAACTCCCCTGGGTCTTCTGACCAGAGCCCTCCCCCCTCCCCCACTAATCTTTGTGATGGGAGATCCCCTCCCTCTTTCAGTTGGGTCTCCACTCCTAGCCCTTCTGGCGTTAGGCGTATCTTGCTGCCAGAGCTTGAAGCCCTGAGCCCTCACTCCTCAGAAGAGCCTGCTGAAATACGGAGCCCGCCTCCCTCTCCTCCACCTCCCATGCTATGATTCTCATGAGCATCCTCATGAGGCCCATGGAAGGAATCAGCATCCACCCCACTGCCCTGAATGGGCTGCCTGTTAAGCGATTACCTGTGAAGTTTACAAATGTTCTAGCCATTAACCAACATCATGAGCAGTTTTGAAGCTCTTGTTTGTAAAGGCAGTTTTGATGCCTCTCCTTCCTGTAATGGCACTACTTAGCGTTTATCTGCTGTTGGCACTTAATTCCAGCCCCTGCTTATCCCTGCAAAAAGCCTGTGTTTGCCTCTAAGCTGAGCTTTCCCTTTTCCGAGTTACCTTTATGCAATGAAATTTTTGAATAAATAAAACGTTGGTTTGATTTTAAAAATGTGACTTTTTTTGGTCCAAAAAACCACTGTTAGTCCTATGTCTTATTTAGAGGATTTAAGAAAGTTGTTGACATACTAGCTGACTCATTGGAAGGGGGAGGGAATAAAATACTATCCTAGCAATCTTTTATTTCCACTGCCTAACATAGAGTTCTTTCCAGGAAAATAGCATTTACATGTTATACATGCTCTTTGCATAGGTTTTTTGCAGCTTGGACAAGAAAAGTGGGCAGGGTTTAACTCAGGGTGGCTAGAGAAAAGGGGTGATGGAGATATCCAGGTTGAATAAGAGGCAGGGCATGTAGGGGGAATACTTCCTCCTCAGATGGGAGTAGGAGGTGCTGGAAGGAAGATGCAGGATCAGGAAGGAGAATAGCAGGAGTCAGGAGCCCAAGGGGGAAGGTCTCAGCTTCCAGGGGAGAAAAAATGTATATGTTGGGAACAAGGGTTCCTGAGGTCTGTGAGGAGAGGGGAGGGGAATGTCTGGGTGAGTGAAGATGAAAGTCGGTCAGTCCTTTAGGATTCTTTGTGACCCCATAGACTATACAATCCATGGAATTTTCTAGGCCAGGTTCAAGGTTAATGATTGATGTAAAAGTGGTCATATACTTAGTGAAAAGTGTGTTAATGGGTAATCCCATTTAAAAAATTATTCTAAGTGTGAGCAGATATGTGAGGTAAGTATGTTTGTGTGTGCATGTATAGACATTTGGAGAGAATTGGATGGACGTATACCATCCTATGAACAGGGCATATATCTCATCTTTGAAATAACTGGTGGTGTGGTCTATGTTTTGTATTTTCCACCTTGGCCATATTGCTGGTTCTGTAATGAAACTCAACTCAGCTGTTTTTTGTTTTTTTTTTCCAGAAGTTAAGTTGTGGAAACGTGGTAGGAGACCACATTTTAAAAAACAGAGTGAAAGAAAATTTAAACCAAACCAGTAAAAGAAACTGCCCCTCCCTATTCTCTTGTACTCGAGTCACATATACCCAACTACCTAATTGACTTTTCTACTTGGGATGTCTAAAAGACATCTCAAACTTCAGTAACATGTAGTTCTATTCAGTAGAAATATAATTCTAGCCACACGTGTAATAACGTTTTCTAGTAGCCACATTATAAGATGCCTAAAGAAACACATGACATTAATAATTTATTTAATTTCATCTATCCAAAATATTATTTCAACATGTAATCAATACTAAATTATTTATGAAATATTTATTTTTTAGATGAAAAATTTTTATTGAAGTATAGTTGATCTACAATGGTGTGTTTCTGGTGTATAGCAGTGATTCAGCCATGCATATATATATACATACATACATACATATATATGTATATACAAGAATATATATACACATACATATGTATATAAAAGAATATATATACATATATGTATATATATACACATACATATGTATATAAAAGAATATGTATATATACATATATGTATATATATATACACACATTCTTTTTCATATTCTTTTCCATTATGGTTTAAGATATTGAATATGGCTCCCTGTCCTATACAGTAGGGCCTTGTCTGTTTTATACATAGTAGTTTGTATCCACTAATCCTAAACTCCCAATTTATCCCTTCCCTAACCCCTTTCCCCTTTAGTAACCATAAATTTGTTTTCTATGTCTGTGGGTCTGTTTCATAAATTCATTTGTGTCATATTTTAAGTTCCACATATAAGTGATACCATATGGTATTTGTCTTTTTCTTACTTCACTTAATATTATAATTTAATGAGATATTTAAAATGTTTTCCTATGAAGTTGTCAAACTCTGGTGTGTAATTTACACCTGCAGCATATCTTAATTCTGACTAGCCACATTTCAAGTACTCAGTAGCCACAAGTGTGGACATGTGTATACAGTACAGTTTTAGACCTTCTCATTTTCTTACTCATTTCCTACTGAATCATGATTCCAACTCCAGCAGTTTCTCATATTGTGGACTCCCATCCTAGAAGGGAGCCCTGATATGTCAGTTTGGGGACTTCACAAGGCTATGATGCTACCAGCACCTTTGGTGTCTTTTGAGCTGGGCTCCTTGCACTTAACTGGTATTGAAAAGGGCAGAAACCTTGGCAGTTTCAGCTTCTCTTTCCAGTGAGTTGGTAGTTTGTGGTCTCTTATTATCAAGTCAGTAAAATGCTGTACCAGTACTTCTTTTTCTTTCTGCACAGACACTAATAACATGTAAGTAATGCAACTTTTAGTGATTTGTCCTCATCTGCTTGAATTTTGGGGGGCTGAGAAGGTATCTTATAACCTAGATTTATTGAAAATATTATACATGCATTTTGCTTTTGCTCTTGTTGCTCTGTTTTTATGTGTTTAGAGAGATCAAAAAGCCATATAGCCACTGTTACCACCATCTTCCCAGAATCTGTACCACCAAGTGTCCTTACTCCTTCAAAAATGTGTCACCCAGTCAACCCTTTGGTGTCTCTGAAGGATCACAGTGGGAGGCGTCATATGTACTACAATAGAAAAAATAATTAAATTCAGGAATTGGAACAAAAACCTGTTGGGCATGCTACTAAAAATCTTTAGAACTAAAGAAGTTATTTTCGAGAGCACATTTTAAAAGTTTTTACTTTATCATATTACTTTGTTCGTTCACAAACTGGATCCTGTACGTGAAGGGCAAGAAAAGATGGAAGAAAGAGGCAGACTACTCCAGATTGGTGGATGTCAATTTTAATAAGCAAATAACTTACATTTTAAAAATATTTATTTCTTTTGGCCATACGATGTGGCTTATGGGATCTTAGTTCCCTGACTAGGGATTGAACCTGGGTCCTCAGCCATGAAAGAGGAGCCCTAACCACTGGACAACCAGAGAAATCTCAAGAACTTACTTTTTATTTAAAAAAAAAATTGGCCTTTCACATGTAAGTCTATTTTTTTTTTTTACTTGGTCGTGCCACTTGGCCTGTGGGATCTCAGTTTCCCAAACAGGGATTGGACCCGGGCTCTCAGCAGTGAATGCACAGAGTCCTGACCA